CAGCCATCATTGTCGTTTGGCAGGCCCGGGCTGGGGATTCGAACCCGCCACCTTAGGTGTATGTGGCTGGTGCCTTAGCGGCTTGAGCCACAGGCACCAAGCCAACAGAACCTTTCTAGTTAAACGTACACTGATAAATCTTTAAGGAGGACAATTTGGCAGTATCTATCAATGTGCATATTTTATGATCAATTTAACTTCTTAGAATTTATCCTAGGGAAATAGGATAAAGAGATGTATGTAACAATTTTTTTTTAGTCACATTATGGTTTATGGGAGTGGGAAAAATGAAAACATTTGTAGTCCATATGACGATGCAATACAATCATCAAAAGTCAGGTTTTTGAAGAATAAAGATATGATGAAATGTTCAATGTCGGTGATTTAATTATACAAGAAAAAGCAAGATTCAAAAGTCTAGTTGTATTCCAGTTATTCTACATAAGTAATATAACATGGAAAATAGATGGGAAGGATATACAAGAATTTTAATAGTGGTTATCTTTGCTACCATTAATGGCTTGGATTTTTTATACATTTCTATAGTACAGTTATCTTACACAATGAACCTATATTATATAATATAATAAGCTTATAAATTCTCAGCCCCAATTTCTCAACCCCTGCTATCTTTTTGTCCCCTGTCATTAAAACAAACAGAAAGTACCTTTGCTTGAGAACAAAGGGTTGTGTTATATTTTTTGGGCTATTTAGGGAGAGAGACAAGAGGTGGAGATGATGGGAACGGTATGGGTTCAATGATGTACTTTATTTAGAAAAGAAAATAATTATTAATGTGGTCTGCTGAATTTTCAGAATTTTAGAAGAAAAGTAATTCTCTTCATTCAAGGTACATTTGATACAATAGTCAGGAAGTTAAATACATCCATTTTGAAAAGTCAAGGAAAGCCAAAAGAGTAGATCAAGTATTTGATTAACTTACCTCCAGAAAAAAAAAAAAAAAGTGCCTCTAAGAAAAAATTGTTGACCAAAAAAGGTGTTACACTTGAAATTGATTCTAAGCATCAGGTAGGATTAAAAAGAAAGAAAACAATTCTCATTAGCCAAGAAGTACAGCTTCCGGCACAGCATCAAAGAATTTAATATTCTAAATAGCTGCTACTAGTTGGAAGAAAAACTGAAAATCTCATACAGAGAGCCTTTGAAAAATTGTCCAAGTAGAAAAACTGTTTTATGTTTTTAATTATTGGGATTTGGCTGGAGTTGAAATAAATAAGTAATTACTATAGTGGTTTTCACAGGTTTGTACTCTGAATAGAGGAATAGGCTCATACATGAAAAGCTAATCATAATCGCCAGGCGGCTGAGTTTTGCCTGACTTCTAGGATGTTAAGCTCCTTGTTTAAAACAAACAAACAAACAAACAAATTGTGTATGTGCTGAAGCAACTTTTGGCAGCAAGGTTCAAAAGGGTTGATTTATTTAAAGACAAAATTGATTTTCGTTAGTAATTTTTATTATTTGTTATAACTTGGGGCTCATTTTATTTGTAGGAGAGTGGCTGAACTATTTATGTTTGATTTTGAAATCAGTGGAATCCATCTAGACAAAGAAAAGGTAAATCTTTCTTCTTTTTCTGACTCTTCCCATTTTACTGACAGTCGGTATCTTTGTTGCTATAGTCCTTGTCACATATGTGTTGCTTGAATTTGCATATTATGAAAATGCTTAGGTTATGAAATTCTTCTCTAAGTGGGGTTTGAATGTAGTACTGTCTGGAAGTTGTCCTGTCACTTTATGATAATTCAGAATTAAGAAAGATGAGACAGTTTTGGTGTTTTAGATGTCCTGGAATTAAGATGAGTTGGGCCATATCAGGAAAGACTGATAGGAAAGCTGGTGTCATTGGAGATTAGAAGTACAGGCACTAAGACCTTTATATGAGTGTACTTTTTACAATATGCATGTCTTTGACAGAGCTACACACTTTTGTTCTTCAAGTAGTGAGCATAGGTTTATGTTTGTTCAGATCCTTTGTTTTAACAGATGTGGAAAGCAGGAGCTGGCCACTGCTGTTAGCAGGTGACCTCCAAAGGCAGAGTATCAAGCTCCGGGTTGGAAGAATGGGGTGGGAACAAAAGGTGGAGGGGACTTGATAGCACTGGAAGACCAGCCTGTTCCTCAGCATCTCCCCAACCTTCTTACCTGGGCTGTCCAGTCTGCAGCTTTGTGGCTCATGGATGATTTTGTGAGGACTTGTTTTGCCTATCTGTGGTATCAAATATCACAAAAAGTGTGCATGGACTGCTTTTTTGCTCATCAGCTTCTGTTAGTATTTGTGTATTTACTGTGTGGTCCAAGATGACTCTTCTGGCAGGGAAAAAGAAGATTGGGCACCCTAGTATGTTTTTGTGCTTGTTTGTTTTAGAGATGAATTTTTTTTTTCCTAATAAATATACCATAATTAAGCTACTTACCTATGAACCAAAGAAATTAGCTTATTAAAATGTCTTGGTCTTAGAGATATGTTATCCCATACGATATGTATCATTTGATTGGCACTGGGTTTGGGTCATGTTGGAGCCACTCACATGTCTGACATGTCTGCATGGCTTTCAGGGCTCAGCATGGTTTTCCTAGTCTGACCTTGAACCAAGGCATGCTTTCCCAGAAGCCCATGAGGGTGACGAGCTTTACTGGAAACTCAGATTGCCTAAAGTGACCAATTTGCCTCTCTCCAAACTGGTTCTTCGTTAATACCTCTAGTATAAGGCTTGGCAGGCAGGTTGTATTTCTTCCCTTCCCAGTATTCTCATATCTTAATTATTGGCCAAGTCCTAGGATTGTTCCTTTAGACCTGCATCTGTCTGCATCTGGAAAAACAAATCGCCTTGATCCTCATCACCAAATACCTGGGCTGTCCTAAAGGCCTTCCTATCAGTAGAACATTTACTGTTTAAAAGTATATGTTTTTCATCACACTTTCACAACTTTGGGGTTGGCAGTACTGTGATTCCTGTTTTATATGAAATAGAATGGAGGTACCTAGAGACTGTGGAAGGTAATTTTGGAAGCCTGCTGGACTTGAGAACCTACACTGCCAGCCCTGCCCATTGGCTTTCTGCTGGTCAGTCTTACTGTCTCCGAACATTGGATTAGTTTTCTCAAACCATTCATTGATTTGATTACTAGTCTCCTGCTCAGAATCTTTCAGTGATTTCCCATTGTTCAGAAAAGTTACAGCAACACGAGTTCCCATGTTCCCTGAGCTCCCATGCACTTTATCACACTGGTGCCCTCCCCTGTGCGTGGTGCCTGTCTCTCCTGTGCTGTTCACCGGGTTTGCCTGGCTAAAATCCCTGGGAAGTTTTCACCTTTGGGCCACCTTGTGTGTGAAGCTTTTATCAGTCCCCAGGTGGAATTTTGCATTCATCTGAACTCACATTTCATTTATTTCACTCATATGGCATTTATCTCTAACTGCCTCTTATCGATGTTGCTGTTATTACGTTGCTTATCTAATCGTAGGCCTTTCAAGGACTGAGAGCATGGATCATGGTTTTTAATGCATACCAGTTTTGGATTCAATATAATGTTGGATGAATGTATGTTGAATTGTAATAATGCTAGCTAACGTACATCAAGTTGGTATCTTCAGAAGGAAGGTTGCTAGTAGAGAATCTGTATTAGTAGTTTTTTTTTTTTTTTTTGAGACAGAGCCTCAAGCTGTCCCCCTGGGTAGAGTGCTGTGGCATTACAGCTCACAGCAACCTCCAACTCCTGGGCTCAAGCGAGTCTCCTGCCTCCGCCTCCCAAGTAGCTGGGACCACAGGCGCCCGCCACAACACTCGGCTATTTTTTTGGTTGCAGCTGTCATTGTTTGGCGGGTCCGGGCTGGGGATTCGAACCCGCCACCTTAGGTGTACGTGGCTGGCGCCTTAGCCGGTTGAGCTATAGGCGCCGAGCCTGTATTAGTAGTTTTATTGTAATTCTCATGAAAGATAATTTTGAACTTTGTTGATGAATTGTATATGTTCAATTTCACCTGCATAAACGTTGCTGCTTTTATCTACCATGTGTTCCTACAGGATGGCTGCTCTTTCCCAGCAAGCCACTCCCTAAGGAACCATCAACATTAAAGATGCAAATAAAGTAGACCTGCTAAATTCTCTTGTAGCTTCCATGTCTGTTCTCAAAGGTGCTCCATTACGACAGGATATAAGGAAGACGTGTTACATTTTTAAAAAGATAAATCATAAAACAAAGCCACACTAACATCTACAAATCATTTAGCCTGTATTCCTTCCAGTTTCTCATTTAAATTTTTATTTTAAGGTCTCACATGAATATATTAAAAGCTTAAAATTAATAGAAATGTCTATTTTTAAATAATCACTTAAACAATTTCATAGAATTTATAGAGAGTTCAGAGTACTACCCATTTATTAACAGTTGTTATCTCAGAGTGCTGAAATGATATACTTAGCAAATCATTGAAGTCAGGAAGTGAACTACGTTTTTTTCCCCCTCGGGATTTTATTAAATGATAAAGTCTTCGAAATAATTAATTTTTATCACATTTTAACTTTTTATTTTTCATAGTAAAGCCTTGGAAAATTTTGGAACTAATGTTATTTCTAGATCTTGGTCATCCTTTATGTTATTCCACTAGTTACCATTAGGTGGCGATGAATGGCCACGTCAGAAACAAAATAGGCAAAGAGAAATCTGGACTGTTGGATGGGGTGCTCTCACTGAATGGGCGCGGTGTGGGGGTGTTGTGCACACCTTTTGAGTGTGGGACATACAAGAGGGATTCTACCTAACAAAATCAAATATTTTGACTTGGTTGTTTGTACCTTCACATTAACCTGAAATAAATGCACTTTCCAATTAAAAGAAAAAATAAAAGAAAATAACAACAACAAAGATGTTGGAATCTCTGCAAACGTATTTTTCCTATGAAGTTTGAATTTTTTGTATTGAAAAATTTGAGGTTATTAATACATTGAATTGTTTTCAGCATCTTATCAAGCATATATCTGCATCTGATGTATTTATCTTTTAAAAGTATATTAGAGCTGCTCAGTCATTTTTTAAGAGCATAGTACAGCTTAGATAGAATCTATTAATAGCTATCAAACCTCACAGCTGCCAGAAAGATTTGTATATACTTTCACCTGAAGCTTCTCAGGAACCCCATCCAGAAAGCTGTCAAGATTTTTCATAATGAATAACCTGTCCTTTGTCTTCCAATAAGCCTGACTAATTATTTGTACCCCTGTTTGTGGTCCAAATATTTCCTCTCAAAACATCTGTGGTAACTTTTTTGATAATATACATTTTCATAGGAGATTATGTATTGTAAAGGTATGGCTGAAGATTAAACCTACAAGGGGGTGCCAGCACTATCCTCATCAGTGACCTGCTGAGGACCTGGCGGGTGCCAAGTCCATGTGCCATATGCTGAGAACCAAGGAGTAGAAGACAGGGTCCTGCCCTCTGGGGCTCCAGTCTGCTTCTCACTGCTCTGCTGCTATTTCTCTGCAGCAGCTCAGGCATCTGCAAAATCAGAACTTCTGAAATGTACTTTTCCTGTCTGGATGTTCACTATACTTTTGTGAAGAGAACTGTATTAATGACTTTTCTTTCCCTCTGTCCTGTATGCCATCTTTTAAGACTAATTATCTTTTCTAATCTGCCTTCAAATAGTTAATTTTTTAAAGCATTGTATTAAATAGATCTCACCATCCCACTGTTCTCTTGATTTACTCAACAAAGTGATTTTGGGCAGTGGGGACTGAGGAAGGTTCTGTATTTTTAACATTGGTAATTTCAAAGATTAGTTATACAACCTAGACATAAAATAGAACTTTAGGAGTCATGTGAATCTTAAAGCATGGAAATAGAAATTAAGTAAATCTTAAACATAGAGGTATTAGAACACAATAAGGATAATTTTCTTGTCAGGATATTAAATTTATCTGTCAAAAATAGAATTATTATAGTGTATATTATACATTTATAACAAATATATTTAATATATTAATTTTATTTAATAGAATATGTTATGAAGTTATATAATTCAATAATATGTATAGTTATTTGCCACCTTTTTAGTTTATCTTTTAAATTAATTATAAAATACTAATTTGAAATGCCTTTAGGTAATTTCTCTTCTCCCCACATACAGCGTAAAAGAGCAGTGGACCTTAATGTTAAAATTTTGGATTTGAGTAGTGCATTTCTTATGGGAACCAACTTTCCCAACAAGATTGAGAAGCATCTCTTACCAGAACACGTTCGCCATAACTTTATATCTGATGGGAATCATGTAATAATTGATGGTCTCCATGCAGAAGCATCAGATGACTTGGTAAGTATATTTTATTATCTTTATTGTTTAGGGTTCATCTGTGTGCTGTTTTAATCCAAAATTTAGTAAAAATTACACCCCTAAAAACGCTTAAAAATGTAACTTGGCTTAAACATACTAAGCCTTAAAAATGTAATTTTTGAGATCATTAATTCCATAAATGCTTTGAATAATGAAAATAGTTTAACTACTTGGGCTTCATAAAGAAGCCCTTATTTGTAAGGTATGATAACAATAGTGATTGACGTTCTAGATGACTGAGACTTTTTAATACATACTATCTTTACCTGGTTAGAGGTGCTTTATGGCATAGAGATATGTGTGTTGGGTAAAAGTTTGTCCCAACATCCTCTAGAACAGACTCCAAAGCTCTAGTCAAGTATGCTGTTATATCCCATGATAGTTTGTAGCTCTAAAAGCTTTATTCATTTTGTGTAAACTTACATTATTTTGAAAGCAATTACTATGTGCAGATAAAGTGGTGAACATTAGCCTGTGTTATTGTTGGGAAGGACTTCGTTATGATACTGATACCGTTTCCTGTTCATTTTTTAAATACAGGTACGAGAAGCTGCTTATAAAATTTTTCTTTATCCCAACACTGGTCAACTGAAATGTTTAGAAGAATTGCTGAGCAATAGAGATCTTCTGGCAAAGTTAGTAGGGTATTCTACATTTTCCCACAGAGCTCTCCAGGGAACAATAGCTAAAAATCCAGGTAAGCCTGTTTATTCAACTTTTAAGGACACAATTGGGTGTTTATGAAACAACTTCTAATTTTAAACCATCTATAAGTTAGTGTTCAATTTTCAGTATGCTCAGAGTACCACTTATTGAGATCTTCTACATGTTTTAATGGGAATGGTTTTTAAGGAGAGCTCATAATTTGGTACATATATCATGCATTTTGAAAGAAAATCATAACTTAAAATTTCATTTGATGCTAGTTCAGATTATTTTCATTTTGACTCAACTAGTTTCTGTGATCAATCTAATAAAATTAAGTAGGGTGAGAAGATGAAAGATCAATATTTTTACTAAAGTTAATGTTTAATGTAAGCCATATAAAAACACACAAGTGTGCTTTTCAGAGGGAAGGGTACTACTTGGGAAGGTTTGTGGTAGGTATGGTGGATGGGAGAGAAATGTCTGTCCTTGGGTTTGTGATAAACTTGTCTTATGCTATGTTGAGTTCATTATGATTAAACAATATGTAAGATAAAATGTTACACAGTAAAAGCATGCATGTATATAATTTTTTTCAAAAACATTTATTAATTTCCAATTGTTGGCTGAGTGAAGTGGCTCAAGCCTGTAGTCCCAGCACTTTTGGAGGCTGAGGCAGGAGGATTGCTTGAGTCTAGGAGTTGGGGTCTGAGGTAACTATGATGATATGATGACATCCCTGCACTCTAGCCTGGGCAACAGAGCAAGACTCTGAAAAAAAATTCAGTTGTAATTTAGGCAGGGAGTTGTGGGTCTAGGAGTAGGGTGATTGCGATGGTTGTGCTGTGTAGATTAAAGATCTTGGAGGTCAGTGGGGTTAGTGTCCTAGCTATGCAGGAGGCCAAGGCAGTAGGATCACTTGATCTCAGGAGTTTGAGTTCAACCTAGATCCTATTATTGTTGCTCCCTTCTGCAATATTTTTCTCCTTCTTTTTTTTAAGATTTTTTTTCATTTCTCTTCTCTGTTGTTGAGGTTGTTGTTGTTTTTGGTTATCTGAGTTTGTTTTGTTTTGTTTTTGCTAATTTGTTTGGTTGGTTGTATTCTTAATTTCTGTTTTTACTTTCTTCAAGAGCAAGGGCTCCTATATTTTTGTTATGTTATTTCAGATCCATTTATTCTCTGTTACTTCTCTCCTTTTTTCTCTCTTTCAGTAGAAACTTTTCTACTTTTCTCATCTTTCCCACATAAATTTCTCATACAACAGCCAAGATCGCCTCTGCTTTTTTTATGTCTTTAATTTTCCCTCTTTATTCTTTATCTGGTATATCCATATTTTTAATTTTCCTTATCTATCCTTATTTTTTTCTCTTTTCTCTGAGTACTGGGGTGTCATGGCATTGGTTTGGCTGAGCGGTCATGGCCGTGATCTGTCTTAAGGAGGTCAAGAGATCATGGGCTAGGGCAGTGGTTCTCACTGCTCAGGAATAGTTTGCGACCCACAGGAACTGTATTTAAGGGTCACAGCATTGAGAAGGTTGAGAACTACTGGTCTAGAGAGTAGACCCTCTACCTTTGGCCTTTGGAAAAACAGTATTGGCAAGTCCACACTGCTGAATTTTTCTTGCTTGTTTTTGTTTTTTCTTTCTCTTCCTATATTTGGCAGAGGTAGGGCGTTTCTTTGCTCAGGCTGGTAAGGAGCTCCTGATTTTAGGGGATCTACCCAGCCCATTCCCCCCCCCCCACCCAAATCCGTGAATTGCAGGAATGGCCACAGCACTATGCCAAACAACACCATTTCTTGTTGCTCTCAATCTCTTTCTGTCCCCCTTCTCCCCTGTTCATCAATTCTTTTCTTTCATCCATATTTTTTCTTTTCTTTTTGTTTTCTTCTTTTTTTTCTTTTCCTCTTCTTTCTCCCTGCTTACTCTTTACCCTTTTCTTCTTTTTGGCCATATACCAAGAGGCCAGTTGAACACCTAACCTCTGGTAAGATAATTTAAAGTGAAGGAGGCAGTAAGAAGGAAAAATTAAGGCAAGGAGATGAACAAGAAGAAAAAACACATGAGGAAGAACCAACAGAAAAAATTCTGGCAACATGAAAAACCAACAGAACAGCTCCCTCAAGGGACCATGAGGGAGCTACTGCAGAGAACACTACCTATCAATAATTAATGGAATTGACAGAAAGGGAATTTAAAATATGGATTATAAAGACAATAAAGAAATTGATGAGAAAGTGGAAAAACAGAACCAAAAGAATGGATGAAAGACATGAAGAATATAGAAAGGATATGGTGGAGCTTAAGAAAATGGAGGAGTTATCAGGGAATTTGAAATTGCAATAGAAAGTATCAATAACAGATTAGGCCATGGAGAAGAAAGAATCTCAGAGCTAGAGGATAACGTTCATGAATTAACCCAAGCAAAGAGGCAAAAAAGAAGAGAGAGAAAGCAGAACAATCATTCAGAGAATTACAGGACTTCATGATGTGTTCAAAGATATAAATTATAGGGATCCCTGAAGCAGAAGATTATCCCAAAGGAATGGAAGTCCTGCTGGAAGATATGATAAATGAAAACTCCCCATGTTTCACTAAAGATTATAACACACTCCTTTCAGAGGGGTATTGAACCCCGGGTCACCTCAACTCAAACAGAGTTTCTCTAGGACACATTGTAGTGAACCTGTCCAAAGTCAAGACAAAGAATAAAATTCTGCAAGCATGTAGGAGAAAGTGCCAACTGACAAATAGGGCAGATCCATTAGGGTGACAGGAGACTTTTCAACCAAAACTTTCCAAGCCAGAAGAGAATGATCATCAACCTTTAACCTTCTTAAACAAAGCAGTTTTCAGCCCAGAATTCTGTATCCTGCTAAACTAAGCCTGGAAAGTGATGGAGAAAAATCAAATCTTTTGCTGATATGCAAACATTAAGAAAATTCACCACAAGAAGACTAACTCTACAGGAAATACATAGACCTGTTCTCAACACTGACTTATCACAATAGACCACAAGCAAGGTAAACACTCAGAAGCTAAAGATGAAAACCTAGCTTCCACAGTGGTGTGAAGGATAAAACTATGCAATGGACTCTCACAAAATAAGATGAATAGAGCTCTACCATACTTATCAATTCTCTCAATAAATGTTAATGGCTTGAATTCCCCACTGAAAAAGGCATGGGCTAGCTGATTGTGTAAAAAAAGCACAAGCCATCCATTTTCTGTCTCTAGGAAATGCACCAAACCTTGAAGGACAAATTGAGACTCAGGGTTAAGGGATGGAAAACAGTTTTTCAAGCAAATAGAAATCAGAAGAAAGAAGGGGTTGCAATCTTATTTTTATATGCAAGTGGACTTAAAGCAACTGAAGTTATGAATCCGGCTCAGCAACATATCAAGACTTTGTCGCTACACCAAAAAGTTTTTAAATAGAGAGGTTCAAGTTACAAAATGTGGTAATAGGATGAAAGGGAGGAGGAGACACTGTGACAGATGCCTGTGGTTTCTGGTTGTGCATCTGGATGTACATTCCCTTCATGGATGGGGGAACACTGGAAATGAGTTCTGTTTGGGGGAAGATCACATCCTTTATTCTATCCTGTCTTTATACCTTCTATATTTGTGTTTGTGTTTAAGTCCTTAAAAATTCTCTTAAATCCACCCAATTTTAATGCCCTTTCATAATCAGCCATTTATTTCTCTCTACCCATCAAGGCCTTCTATTAAGCCACAGGCACGTCACACTCAGCCTGGGTGCTGTTGCTCATGTCATTTTTGCATGGGGAACAGCTTCCTCCTAATATGTTAAAATCTTTTGTTTTTAATTTCACATGGGGGGATAAAGCTGTTAAATTCTTAGCCAGTTTTTCAGGGCTCAGCTCAAAACCAGCCTCTTTCATGAGGCCTGTTAAATTTTGACACTTTCCTTGGACTCTCTTGTTCTCAGACTTTTTTCCGCCACCTCTGACATATGGGGCCAGCACCCTACTCCTTTGAGCCACAGGCACCATCCTTGTTCTCAGACCTTTAAAGCACTTACAGTTTGCCTCATGTAATTTAGTTCCTAAGTAAACATTGTGTATATGTTATGCATTTTATGTTTTTGGGGTTTTTTTTTTGCAGTTTTTGGCCGGGGCTGGGTTTGAACTCACCACCTCTGGCATATGGGGCTGGTGCCCTACTCCTTTTAGCCACAGGCACCACCTATTTTATGTGTATTTTTTATTGCATGTATTTTCTGTGATTACTGATGTTACCAATTTGATTTTAGTGGTATTATATTTTAATTTTTATATTATCATTATATAAAATAATATTAGAACATTATTCCATGTTTACTCTGTCATTATTTTCATTTAATTTCTCTGAAGTCTTATTCAGAGTCTTTGTGGCCATGCCACAGATAAGGAATCTAAGGGTAAGTTATATTGCTAAAAAGTGGCAGAACAGAAACTTAAACACATAGTCTAAATTTACAGCTTTCTGTAGGCTGCTTGAGACCGAATACCCTGTCTTTTATATCATCTATATCCTCTGTTTTCATTCATTGTTTCAATAAATATTTACTGAGTGCCTACTACACGTCAGGTATTATTCTAGGCTCTGGAAATAAATCCACATATAAAGCAGTTGGAAATTTCTGCCCTTATGCAGTTTGCATTGTTGTGAGGGAAGATAGTTAAGAATAAAGTAAATAGGTATGAAAGTATACAGTATGTTGGCTTGTTGCCTGGTGCTCAGTGGTTAGGGCGTTGGCCACTCACATCGGGGCTAGTAGATTCAAACTGTGCCTGCTAAACCATGACAACTACAACCAAAAAATAGCCCAGGTGTTGTGGTGGGTGCCTGTAGTCCCAGGTACTTGGGAAGCTGAGGCAAAAGAATCTCTTAAGCCCAAGAGTTTGAGGTTGCTGTACACTGTGACACCATGGCCCTCTACCAAGGGCAATATGGTGAGACTCTTGTCTCAAAAAAAAATATATATATATAGTATGTTGTTAATACAGATTGCAGAGAAAACAGAATAAGGGCAGAGATAAAGGATATGAGTGTGTGACATGGTGTGCGGTTTTAGGCAGCATTGTCAGGGACGGTACACTGATAGAATGTGACAGGTGGCCATGCTCTTATCAGAGGACTGAGGCTGTGGCTCTCTGGGGGGAGAAAGTTCTAGGTAGAGGCAAAGTGCAAAGTGCAAAAGTCTTGAGGCAGTAAAGTGCCTGCCTTGTTTGAGGAAAAGCAAAGAGGGCAGAGTGGCTGCATTGGAGCAGGTGGGGGAGAGTGTGAGAGGTGGGAACAGACTGATGAGGCCTTGACTCCAGTGTGACGAGAAGTCGCTGGGAGGTTTGGGCAGAGCATTGACATGATCTGATTTAGATGCTAATGTAAGTCGTGTGCTGCTGATTTTAAGAGTAGACTGATGAATGAGGTCAAGGGCAGAAACTATTTTGCAGTAACCATGATGAGAAATGATGGCATCTTGACCAGGTGGCAGCAGTAAAAGTGATAAGGTGTGATCAGATTCTATGTATATAGCATTTTAAAGAGAGTCAGGGTTTTTGAACTAAGCAACTAGGAAGAGTGAGTTAATGTTAGCTAAGCTAGAGAAGAACAGGAGCTTAGTTAGTTTCATTCAGGTTGAGAGACAGTTGAGGCGTAAGTGGCAGCATTGAGTTGGCAGTTAAGTGTGTGACTGTGACATATAGAGAGTTCTGAGCTGGAGATATAAATTTGAATCTTTGTTTAAAGTCATGAGACTCTCTGAGTTTACCAGAGGAGAGTACTTAAAGATCAGAAGTCCAAGAACTGAGCTCTGGGGCCCTCCAGGTTTAAGAGGTCAGGCATATGAGATGAACCAGTCAATGCTGCTAAAAGTAATGGTCAGCCAGAGAGGAGGAAAGTGCACAGAGTGGGTGGTCCTGGTGACACACAAAAGAAATGTCTTAAGGAGAAGAGAGTGATCAGCTGACTTCAATGCAGGGCAAAGGTGAAGGGGACTGGGCTTTCCCACAGGCTCAGGCACTGTGGCTTGGAGCTCATGGGTCTGCAGCAGCTAATACAGATGCCAATCCTGGGAAATAACCCTTGCTCACTAAGTGTTTGATGGAGTGATATTTTGCCAGGAGGCCATTTGACATATTGTAGCATGAGCCCTATGTTCTTGAGGGATTTAAAATTTATTTGAGGGGCCAGATGTATACATATAGAGATAATAAATACAGGTTGGCCCATTTTCAGTGCCAGTTGAGTGTTATAGACAAAACAGTGTCCTGGGATTTTAGGAGCTTGGGAGGTTTGTCAGATGCCTGCGTGGCTGTTCCAGGTTTCATGAGGTGCATAGTGAGGGAATGGTGTGCGGTCAGCAGGGAGGGCAGAGAAGTTAAAGGGGGCTCCTGGGGAGAAGCGGGGTGGGCAGTCACGTGACTAGCAAGATAGAATGTAGCTGTGGAGTGCGGCATCTAGTTATTTTCAGGGGTTCCCAAATTTAGTCGTTTAATATAACAGTATGCCAGGTAGATAAATTGAGGTAGATTCTTCACATGTAAGATGACTAAAGAAACAAAATGGGTGAGTGTTAGTAAAACATGGTTATGGTTATTTAGAAATAGGAAGCAACTTGAACTTTACTTAACAAAGTCACCTAATCATTTGTACCCTCATATCAATCTGAAATTAAAAAAAGAAATAAAAAGTATAGACAGAGATTTATGTGAAGAAGTTTATATGGCAGCTAGTATGATATCCTGAAATGAAATCTCATGTTTGACTAAACAACAGTGTTTTTTCCGTGAAATTCCCAGTCCTGTTTAATACAGCACACGAGGCAGTGCTTTTAGAATTAGTATGTACCCCGTACAAGGCTTGTTAAGTATTGGCAGCGGCGAGAAGCCCTGTGGTTTTGGTTTAGGTTAACCTTCATTCTGTCCTTAGCCTTTTATTTAACTCAGAAAGGAGATAACTTAAATTGAAGAGAGGGCAAGGAACCTAAAACCATATAAAAGATCATCTGGAAAATATAAAAACAATGTTTGAAGCAAACTAAAATACATATGCAAGCTCTACACACATGAGCCAGTGGCAAAAAGTGCTAAATACAATATACACATGAAACAGTCCTATCGTGGGAAACAGTGGTAATACTACTCCATTACCTTTATGGATTTGTAAAGTATAATGAAGTATATTAATACATACTTAAAAAAATTTGATCAGAACTTACTTTTTTTTTTTTTTTTTTGAGACAGAGCCTCAAGCTGTCCCCCTGGGCAGAGTGCTGTGGCATTACAGCTCACAGCAACCTCCAACTCCTGGGCTCAAGCGAGTCTCCTGCCTCCGCCTCCCAAGTAGCTGGGACCACAGGCGCCCGCCACAACGCCCGGCTATTTTTTGGTTGCAGCCATCATTGTTGTTTGGCGGGTCCGGGCTGGGGATTCGAACCCACCACCTTAGGTGTACGTGGCTGGCGCCTTAGCCGGTTGAGCTATAGGCGCCGAGCCAGAACTTACATTTTTAATGTTCTGATTTTCTATTTTCTTCTGGTATTGATCCTGAGTACATTATTCTGCAGTTGTATATAAAAATACAAGTAGTTATCCAGAAAAACATTGATTTTTAAAACTGTTTCAGCAAATTATACTTCTAAACTATAGTGATTTTCATGAACAAATCAGAGTCTAGCTATCTCTTTAAAACTTAGAAAATGCCAGACAAATCTAAGAAACTAATTTTTAAATTTTCTGAATATGAATAAATTGGAACACATTGAAATTTTTTCTTTTCTTCTAGCTTCCTAGTAACTCTTAATTTGGGGATATTATGGAAGGCTTTGGATTATTACTGTCAAATTAATTTGTTTTTCTGGCTAAGAGATCATTGTCAGCTAGAAATATTTATTATATGCATAGTATATGTTAGCAACCTACTTCCCTTTGAAAATCATCACTTTAATGGAATTGTAGTATATACGTTATTATATGTTCATTGTATTTCACCTAATTGCAGATTTTTTTTTCAAATTTCATTTTTAGAGACTGTCATGCAGTTCCTTGAGAAACTATCAGACAGACTTTCTGAAAGGTTAGTTTTTATCCTATTATTTAATTTTTTGGTCGTATATTAGTTTTTTAAAGATGACTTACTAAAAATTAGGAAGTGACTTATTAGGAATATGAGTGTTGGAATATTGAGTCAGATCTGCGGATCCTTCAGCAAGTTATTCACTGTGAGTCACACTTTGACAGAACACAGTTGTCTTCCTAAACTGCCAATCTTGAAAACTTAAGCAGTCTCCTCTCATTAACGGATTGTCTTTAGGACCCTGTTATTCATGTGTGATTTAAAAATTCTTTCAAATGCTTTTTGAAACTATTATAACTTGTACCATTAATTTTATAACAAGTTCATTAAGTAGTATTTCTCTTCTTTTGGCCAAAATACAGGAGGCTCACAGATATGGTGGATTAATCTGTGTGTTTGATTTCATGTATTTTAAGAATACTCTGTCTCAGTTTTTATAATTTCAAGCAGAAGTGACTTACTCTCTTCACTGGGTCCCTCCGTTATATTCCTGCCTTCCCTGCCTGTCCCCTGCCCTGTCATCCCTTAGATTAGTGGTCAGCCTTTTTGGCATCAGGGACCAGTTTCATGGGAGACAGTTTTCCACAGATGGCGGGGATGTGGGTGGGCATTAGATTCTCAGAAGGAGCACACAGCCAGATTCCTTGCATGTGCGGTTGACAGTAGAGTTCATGCTTTTATGAGAATCTAATGCTGACACTGATGTAACAGCAGGCAGCACTCAGGAGAAGATGCCAGTGATGGGGAGCAGCTGCAAATACAGGTGAGGCTTCAGTCCCTGGCCTGCTGCTTACCCACTCTGGGTGGCCTGGTTCTTAACAGGCCACAGACCAGTTGTCAGCCAACAAAGGGTTGGGGACGGCAGCCCTGTTCCCTGGCCCTCTTCTAGGGTTTAGCTGGGGGGCAGGGGGGGGGAGGAGGAAGGAGGATTCCAGGATGAGGCATGTCGTAGTTTGTGAGAGAGGGCAATGTTTTCCTCTTTTCTTTCTTACAATATCTAAAATTTTGTTTGCTTTTTTGTCTATACCAGTGGTTCTCAATCTTCCTAATGCTGCGACCCTTTAACACCTCCTGTTGTGGTGACCCCTAACCATAAAATTATTTTTGTTGCTACTTCATTACTGTAATTTTGCTACTGTTATGAATTGTAATGTAAATATCTGATATGCAGGGTGTATTTTCATTGTTATAAAGGGGTTGCAACCCACAGGTTGAGAACCGCTGGTCTATACTAGTGCATTCATTTTAGCTGAAATTTCTGTTGGATTATGAACTCATGCCTTAGAACCCATTTCTCTCTAGTTTGGTACAAGTTACAGATTTTCAAAGAATTTTTAAATTATACATGCTTACATATGTTTTTAGATTGTAAAACTTTCTTTTAATAATCCTAGTGAATCACTGTGTCTTTGATATAAGAAAGAGGGAGAGTCAATTATGTACTTACTTGGTCTGTTTTGCTTTACTGTGTGTTAGTTTTCTTCATAATTCTACAGTTATACATACATAGGAGTGAATTCTGTCAGACATGGCATATCCTGCCAACATTAAGTGCATACTTAATTATTGTCTAGGTACAGTTTTTCTATAGGGGAAAAATTATGACTAGTAATGTTAAGTATAACTAGTCATAATTTTTGACAAACCAAAGTAAGTTTGATTTGATAGTGGCTACCAAAGCCATGTTGATATTTTTTTATAGAAATAATAAGTTTAATCTCTTTTTAAGTAATTTAAAACTTGCTAATTAATGTACCATTGCTAGTTTTTCCACACTTTAGTATTTTTGAGATATATGTCCACCATGATATTTTTAAGATACAAATTGCTGTATCTGTACTGATTTACATATTGTTTCTTTTAACACTTATATAAAATTTGGATTAATACTGATTTACATTTGTACTACTAATTACATCTACTTTTATCGTGAATATTGGAATATAACAAAAGCAGATTAATTGTGTCATAATGTAATTATTAAGATTTTTTTCTAGCAAGTAAAGATAAACCTGTTTTACAGAACTGTAAAAGATTTTGAGATGATACGAGGGATGAAAATGAAACTAAATCCTCAAAAATCTGTAAGTAACTTGTTGGAATATTTTTTGTTATAAATAATCTGTGAACTGAAATCATTATCTTTTGATTCTGGAACTTTTTTTGACATGCTAAAGATCCATGTAGTCTTGTTCATGATCGTTGGTTTTGATGGACAGAGGTTTTGAAATATTTGATCCATGTGTCTGAGTCTGATATTGCCTGGAAAGGTAGTCTTTTTGTTGATTACCTGACATATTTTGTAGTGTGTGTGTGTGTGTGCGTATGTTATGAACGTACATTAACGTAATGTATTCCTAAAAAGTCTGCTTTATTCTATGGAAGTTGGCTTCCCAGTGTGAAGCAGCCTTTACTGCCCAGTGGAGGCTTGATCTGGCAGGTGGCAATTTTAACCATCATCGTTAACATTGCAGTTTACTCAGTCATTTGTTCACTAATTTATGGCTCAATGAAATAGATTATTATTTGAGAAAGTATACTCCATTTTATAAATACTTAAGTATTGTTTTCAATCATAAGATCTTATGATTACATGATTCTACTTATATGATCTTACAATAGAGATGAAGCGTTGATGTGGACAGAATGCTGCCCCAGCTGACTGGGGTGCCCTGGCAAGTGAAGGGATTCCATGTATTAGGACTCTCCCTTTTGGCTCAACAGTGTTACAGAATTGTTAGGCTTGACTACAGCATTCTTTTATAGGTGCTGTTGTTGGTCATTTTTGATTTGATAGTGGCTGCCAAAGCCATACTTACAGGGAAGATTTAGGGAAATGAGCCTTGCAGATTTGGAAATGATTTACCAGCTTCCCAGATACAACCCCTAAGAAACAGATTATTCCTGCTGGCTGCAGTGGTTCATGCTTGTAATTCAGCTCTTGGGGAGGCACAGGCAGGTAGATTGCTTGAGCTCAGAAGTTTGAGACCAGTGTAAGCAAGAGCAATATCTCAGAAGGCTGAGGCAGGAGGATTGCTGAGCCCAGGAGTATGAAGTTGCTGTGAGCTCATATGCCGCAGGACTACCCAGGGTGACAGAGTGAGACTCTGTCTCCAAATGGGAAAAAAACAAACAACCACCCCCCCCAGATTATTCCTGTCAAACTCAGTCTGTTAATTTATGGAAGGACTATATATAGCAGAGTAAGTAGTATTAATCATTTGTACACTGTGACTTGGTAGGTAGGTCTGCTTCAGAAACCAGAAGAATTTTAGTGAATATAGAAACAGGAAGTAAAAAATAAAATATGTTGCCAAAAGCTAATTTGGTGAAAGGTAGTAGATCTTGAAAGTATCTTCCCTAGACATTTTGTGTATCTTACTGATACATGTTATGCTACAGGTATTTGTGAAGTGCCCAGTCTCCTCAGGAAGTCCCCATTCACTGAACCCACCATTCACTGTGCTGCCCTTGCTGGAACTTGTGCTTACTCTGGCCTAGTGGTTCTCTGAGTCTGGTCCTTGGATCAGAAGCAGTAGCATCACCTGGGAACTTGGTAGAATACAAGTTTTTGAGCCCCACTTCAGACCCACTGAATCAAAAACTGTGGGGTGAGACCCTGAAATCTATCTGTTTCCACAGGCCCTCCAGGGATTCACATGCCCTTCCCCTATAATCGGGTATGGGGTCCTGCAGATTCTCCCTTCTCCTACAGTTGCTGTAGCCTTGGTCAGGATCATTATTAAAACTTTTTGCCCAGATTGTATGTAATTGTGGTTGTCTAACTGGTTTTCTAGGCTTTTGTTCTTGCTTCCCCGAAATCAAATCTATCCTGAATTTGAACTGTTTAGCAATGTGCCTAGCCAGGTGTTGGGCATAGACTTAGCTTATGGACTTATTTGGACTATGAATGAATGGATTGGCGTTATGGTAGAGTGACCAGATTTTAACATTTGTAAAGTGAGACAACATGGGGGGTAGGGGATGGGACAGGGCAGGGCCTGACAATAATGCAGACTTTGATAAGCAGTTCTTGATAATCACTTCTCCACAATTATTTGTTATTATTACAGTTTAACGTTATAAAATTAACAAAAATAATATAAAACTCATATTCTGGCTATTTGCTACATGGCAGCTGAAAATCGTATATTCTCTTCCTATTCTCCCGCCCGTTCGTGCATTCTTTCCAAGAATGGGACTTTTTAAAAACTACACGGGATGCGGGACAAATTGTTGAAAAGCGGGATGTCTGGTCACCCTGTGCTATGGGGATTTTTCTAAACAGCAGATTTGATCTTGTCATTTTCTTGTTTGAAATTCTTCATTAGCAGCTGATAATTGTCTGATTTGCCTTCCTATCCCTTTACTTCTCCCACTAAGCCCTCTTGATCCAGCCCCACCTGCTTCTCTGGCCTTGTCTTTTGCTGCCCCTCCAAGCCCAGTTAGGTCCTTTGTCTCTCCTGACACCTGTGGGATGCTTGTGTTCTCTGTTCACTTAGTTTTGCTTTCATTCCTTGCTTTATTTTCTTTTACTCTTTAATTCCAGCTGATATTTCTGTGCCAGCCACATAAATTTGGTATGGTAGGCAACTTTAATCATTCACAAATACTATACCCAGGAATGTCTTTTCCCCTTTCTCATCTGTATTAACTGCTTTGTCTTAAAACTCAACTCAGACATTGCCACTTCCAAAATATTTCCTGACCTTACCTTGTGATTCAGATGCCCTTCCTGTGGGCTGTGTTTTACATGGTGCAGTGTAGACATGACATATTGTCCTCTGATTGTTAAGCCACTTGTCTACTGCCTAGACTGTCAGCTCTTTGATACAGGGACCATATCATATTGGTTTTCGTCATCAGAGCCTGTGCTCTGTCTGGCATCCAGCAGATGGTAAATAAGGATCTGTTAGAGGAAATGTGTGCAGGAACTGAACGCTGAGGGCGAGACTATCAGGGCCACAGTGCCTGTTCTTCAGGCGCTCATGAGGTGAAAGCAAATAAGCCTACAGGTATCTTCCACTGTCACACAGTGAAGTATTTTCATGGGATATGGGGAAGAGCACCTTGGGGAATAACCTTGTTATTTGAGGAGATAATACCTAAGCTGAAAATCTGAAGGATAATTATAATAAGGAGAGCAGCTAGCATTTATCGAGCTCTTACTCAGTGCCAGGTGCTCAACTGTTTAAGTACATTCAGCAGTTCTATTTGGGAGGTACTGTTGATTCACTCAGTAAGCATGTACTCAGAGACTCCCTCATACCAGCCACTGTTCAGCGTGCCAGGATATGATAAGGAACAATGCAGGCACAGTCCCTGTGCTCATGCAGTTTACCGTCTGGTATGAACTAAAAGCCTGAACCCAGGCGGTCTGGCTGCCCTTCCTGGTCTCTTAACCACTCTTTTGTCCACCTGGACACCTGTGGGAAAGATGAGTCATTTATGTATTCAAGCTTTCCTTTCTTTCAGGACTCTGTACCTGTCTTCAAAAACAACTATTATTACAGCACTACTTTGTGACATATTTTCTTTGCCAAGATTAGAGTTAATTCTTCCTTAGTTACATTTTAAATTATTGCTTTCATTTTGGGGATCTACCCTAAGCTTCTTGCTTAGATTTGGAAAGAACGTTAATCTTACCTTCAGTGCCCTAATCTTACCTGCATTATGTTCTATGGATTAATATTGGCTACATTTGGAGAGAAATTTTATCATCACCAATTTAATCCATTAACGTTGACTTTGGTGAGTTTATACTTTAAAGTAACATTTGTTTACCTTTCCTCTAAATTCTGGGTTAGGTCTTATTTATACCTCTCTAACTATTGATTACAGGGAAGTCAAAATAAGGAGCCAGCTATTTCATTTCCAGGCTATACATTTTTGGGATTTTAGGAAAATTTTCTGATCTACGTTAACAATAGCTGGTTTACATTGTATAAGCTGGCTGCTTTACAGTAAGTTGTTTACAATTTATAAGCTGGCACAGTTACTGATACAAATTATGTAACAATAGCTTTTGTAATAATGAATTAATTTATCCATTGCAGGAAGTAATGCCATGGGATCCCCCCTACTACAGTGGTGTGATTCGTGCAGAGAGGTACGTTTTTCCAGAAATAATGCATATGTGAGAAAGAAGAAGAAAACTAACGTTTATTGAGCACTTGGTACTTTAATTATGCAACTACTGTTAATAGTTGCCTACATTATAAATCTATTTTCTGGCTCCTACCCACATATTCTTTGACTGCTTGTATCATTCCTATATCCTTGTTTAAAATTCTGAACTATCCCCTTACAGTATGTAGGCTCTGGCCCTCTTCAGCCCTCCCCATGTGTAGCTTTCTGGTTGTCTTGCTAGACTGTGAGCTTTTGGGGGGCTACAATGTTACTAGAATCCTTGTTGCTAGTTAACCACAAGATGGGGGTCTCTTTGTTCAAGTCCACTTTTGGCAAGAATGGACACACCTAAGGGTAGTGTGGCCAGGGTGTGTGCCCCAAGGTCTCAGGGGCCTAGCAAGGCCTGGCTCCATCAGTTAGTGTGCTACATGACCTTTGGTAAGTTATTTATCCTCTCTGAGCCTCTTAGTAATATCATCTATAAAATGGGAGTTATGGTCTCTGAAAGCTTTTGAAGGAGTGGTCAGTTGTTCCTTAAAGACACTCATCTAAAATGTGTGCATATATTGAATGAGTGTGGAATGCTCATCTGAGAAGCTCGTGATGATTGGTAAAGAATCCTGAAACTGGGCAGTCTGTCAGTGCTCCCCAGAGTCTCAGTGTCCAGGGTGGAAGAACCCTGCGTCTGGCCAGCAGGACAGTTCACACTCTTGTGCACTTGCTTCTTCAAGGTCAAAAAATCACTACTGTCTTTAAAATAAAATTGGAACCATCATTCAAGACCTTGTGGGGTCTCATCACAACCTTAAGAAACAAGCACATACATGCGCACATTTGTTCTGACTTTTCCTCCCCTGCTGCTCTTCCTGATTTACCTTGGCCACACCCCTTTGTGTCTTAGAGATATAACCTATGTCTGTCCAGCAGTAGGGTTCCATTACTTACCTTATCTGTCTGAAATACTTGTGACATCTTGTGCTAGCCTCATGCTGCTCCTGGCCCCGCCATATTCACAGGCTCTATGCTACACAGTTGACCTGCTAATTATATGTTCTTGTGGGTACAGTACTGTCTCGTGTTTTAATGTGTCTTGTCAGCCATATTTACTGACTGCCCAGAGTCAGCAAATACATATTGGTTGATAACCATTATTCAAGCCCGTGTCTAAAGCGGTAATTGAAAGTCATTATTAGAAGGAATCCAATGATAAGTTCTTTTGGAAAAAGAATGTCATATTTGCATGGTATTTTTCATCCAGCAGATTTATGGGAAGCAGTGTGACCCTCTGGAGGTCTTCACACTGTTCACTTGTTGACAGAGCTTCCTCCCACTCAGGGATTCTTTGAATCACCAGCCCAACATAGTACTGGTGTAACCTGCCTGATAGTCACTTGGTGCGTGGGCTTATTTTAATTAAAGTTTCAGCACTAATTTACTTATTTGGCCATTAATTCTGCTAAAGGACCAGGAAGAGGGATGCAGAAATGCTGTGGAAGGGACTATAAGGATTGGGAGTGTTAAGCATCTATTTTAAGTAGCTTAACAGGCAGATGATCAAGGTTTGGTTTGAGGTTTTAATAATCTTGAGAGACAAGAGTAGGCTAAGAAGCACAGGTAATGGGTGAGAAAAGAAAGGGAAAATATTATAGTTTGGGTTTAAGGTTAGAAGAGAGGAACCGAAATGGAGATTTCTAAATCCTTGTTAAATTCGTTACCTTTCAAGTAGAGACTTAAATGTGTGCTTTGACACAAAATGAAAAATAAAAGGGGCTTTCCTTACTTTGAGCTTTTCTCCAAGTTAACCCCAGGGATTTTTTTCTTTTTTGGCTTTCATGTTAAATACTTCAGATTTATTTCAAGTTTCTTAAATGCCTGCCTAAAGAAAAGAAAGAACCTGTTTAGAAGTAGGAAAAGAAACTGACATGTTTTTAAAAGCGTCAGAGGTTGATCTGGGACAGCACTGCAGTGGGATAAAGGACTGTTGGTAAGTCTGTTAAAAGCAGCTCATTTTTTGTCTTTTTTGGGTTTTAATGTAGGATTCTTGATGGAGGAGTAAAATTCTTTCAAATATGACAAGTATATATGAAATCATTTTATTTGAAATTAAATTTTATTTTTGAATAGGCATTACATTCACGTAGCTAAAAAAAAAAGATTAATGTTGAAAACTATTCACTGATCTCATCCCCCCCTCTGCCCCCAGAGGTCACCATGCTAAAGTTTTTAATGTACCCTTTCAGCATTTGGGTTTTGTTTTTAAGGCTTTGTTGACATGGTTTCTCTTCTGCAAGTAATGAATTTCAGCAAATCATGTTTTATTTATTTTGGTGCTATTTTATATTAGGATATTATTGGGAAGTAGAATTCAGTATTGTCTATTCTTTGCTAAGATGTATTCTCAAAATCTCAACAGCATTCACAAACGAAGTAGAGATGTTTTGTTTTAAACTCTTCAGAAAACAGTGGACTCTCACATAAGGACTCCTGTCTGATGTGGTGTGAAATTGTGTACTTTGTTAGCATAGACGTAGTGACCTTGGTGGCTTTAAATTTTTAAAAATTAACCTTTATTATGAAAACTTTCAAAATGAGCAGAAGTAGAAAGCATAATATAAGTAACCTCCATATAGTCACCTCCTGGATTTAGTATTATCAAGATTTTGCTACACTGGGTTCATCTGACCTTTTTTAAAATTTGTTTTTTGTTTTTCTTTCTTCCTTCCTGTCTACCCTCCCCCTACTTCCTTTCCTTCTTTCCTCCCTCCTTTCTCATTGAAAGGAGAGGCATTTGTCACTTAATGACAGGGATACATTCTGAGAAATGCATCATTAGTCACTTTCAGTGTTGTGTGACCATAGCGTCCTCACACAAACCTAGATGGCATAGCTTACTTCACACCCAGGCCGTGTGGTACAGCCCACTGTTCTAGGCTACACACCTAAACAGTGCGTGGGTGTATTGAATGCTGCAGGCAGTTGTAATACAATGGTATTCGTATGTCTAAACATATCTAAACACTGAAAATGTACAGTGACAATATGATTTAAAAGACAAAAAGCAGTGCATCTGCGTAGGGCACTTACCCTGAATGGAGATCACAGGACTGGAAGTTGCTCTGAGTGCGTCAGTGAGTGGGTGGTGAGTGAACGTGAGGGCCTAGGACATTACTGTACGCCATTGTACGCTTTAGAAACACTGTGCATTTACACTGCACTAAATTTGTAGGAAAATATTTTTCTTTCTTCAATAAGTAACCTTAGGTTACTATAACTTTTTATTTTATGAACTCATTAATTTTTAAAAACCTTTAAACTCATAATAACACTTCATTTAAAACACAAACACATTGTATAGCTGAACAAAAATATTTTGTCTTAATATCCTTGGTAATAAGCTTTTTATAACATTTTAAACAATTCTTTTTTTAGTTTTTAAACTTTTGTTCAAAACTTACACACACATTAGTTTTGGCCTACACAAGGTCAGGATCATCAATATCACTTCTCTACCTCCATGTCTTGTCCCACTGGAAGGTATTTAGGGGCAAAAACATGCAGGGAGCTGTCATCTCCCATGATAACAGTGGCTTCTCAAAGGACCTACTGATGCTGTTTTGTAGGTTTTTTTTTTGTACATAGAAGGAATGCACTCTAAAATAGTGACAAAGCACAGTATAGTAAATACATAAACCAGTAACCAGTGTTTTGTTATTATCTAGTATTATGTACAATACATTATTGTGTTAGACATTTATATGACTAGCAGCACAGTAGGTTTGTGTACCCCAGTATCACCACAGACATGTGTTGCCCTGCGATGTCACAGAGGCCAGGACATCACTAGGCGATAGGCATTCTTCAGCTTCATTGGAATATGGGCCACATTGGATATGCAGTTTGTAGTTGATGGAGGTGTTTTTACACAGCATATAACTGTAAAGTAAATCCTAGACCTCATGTCATCTCACTCTTAAATATTTATTATGTATCTCTAAAAAACATGGATATCTTCTTATATAACTCCAGTTTCGTTATTTGCTAATAAAAATTAACAGCAAATTGTTGGCATCATCTAATGTCTAGTCTGTATACATATTTCCTTGGTGGTATCAACTTGGTTTGTTTCCCAGTTAGCTTGTTGGAATTAGGATGTAAGTAAGCCCTACACATTTTACTTGACTTTTCTGTCTCCTAGATCTCTCACTCTAGAGCAGTTCCCCACACCTTATGTCCTTCCTACTCCCTTTTTTTTCTGTATTATCAACAATTGTTGAAGAGTTGAGGTTTTTTGTCTAACAGAATTTCCAAACTTCTGTATTTATCTGGTTGCTTCCTTGTGTTATTTCACTGGTTCATCTCTTCCTATCATGTAAGCTGGATGTTATATCTAAAGACTCAATATTAAACATTTCCTATTTTTGGCCTGGACACCATGGGTTATATTGGATACTTTGTGTCACATCAGAATACAAGGAGTATCAGTTGCCCCACCATGAGTGGTACAGAGATAGACACTTACATAGACAGATGCCAACATGATCTCTGTTTGTGTGCAGTTACTGGCAACGTGAAAACATCAGGTCTCCCATTAGTCATTCCCCTAATGGTTAAAACACCCATTGATAGTTCTTGTCTGAGTTAGTAATTCTTTCTTTTTCATTACTAATTTTCAAAATGAGGATTTATTTTAATAGTTTTCTGAACTGGTAACAAATGAGCATTTTTTTGGCTTTCTCTTTTTAAAGTTTATTAACTGATGGAATTCCATTGATTCAATGTATTTCAATCCATAACAGTCACTTTGGGGTGGATGCCAAATTTGTCATAACTTGGCCCATTGCACTAAAATGTTTTAATACCTTGGTTTTTAACTCCGTCTTTTAGGAGCTTGTTCAGTGAAACTCAAAATACCTGTGTTTATAAGTCCCAGTTGATTTTGAAAATTAGTTACAACATCTCTGCAGGACAGAGAGGGTAGCA